TATCAAAACAAAAAAAAGGCTATCACAACTTATTTCTCTCTAAAAGAGATATGATGCAGTGAAGTAAAAATCAAGTGGTTCAAAAGGAGGCTGCTTTATTAGCAAAGGCAAGTGTACCTTTCAGGATGCCATATTCATTCAACTGAAGAAAACCAAGCACCTAGTGATCTATTTATCCTCCCAGTAGTATTTTTCAAATTAACATGTGAATAAATATTTTTACAATACAAACAAATTCTGACAAGTACCCATATTTTAGTGAGGTTTCACCATTTAAAAACATCTTTTACCCTTCTAGCAGAGAATCTGCTCCCCAAGTAAAAGCTACCAGTAAATTGTGCACAAGACATGCTTGTACTTATTTCCTTCTTTTTACATTTCATTTTCTGCTAGTGTGTTTACTCAAAGTTCTCACAAAGGGCAAACTGTATTTCGCACCAATCTGGAGTATTCACTTAAGATCACTGGGGCAACTTCTCTGCCCCGCTTTGCTGGGCAGAGAAGAGATTCAGAGCAGCCCTGTGGAAAAGGACTTGGGAGTGTTGGTCGATGAGAAAATGAACATGAGCTGGCTTCAGTGTGCGCTTGCAGCCCAGAAAGCCAACCGTATCCTGGGCTGCATCAAAAGGAGCATGACCAGCAGGTCGAAGGAGGTGATCCTGCCCCTCTACTCTGCTCTCATGAGACCTCACCTGGAGTATTGTGTCCAGTTCTGGTGTCCTCAACATAAAAAGGACATGGAACTGTTGGAACAAGTCCAGAGGAGGGCCACGAGGATGATCAGGGGACTGGAGCACCTCCCGTATGAAGACAGGCTGAGGAAGTTGGAGCTGTTCAGCCTGGAGAAGAGAAGGCTGCGTGGAGACCTCATAGCAGCCTTCCAGTATCTGAAGGGGGCCTACAAGGATGCTGGGGAGGGACTCTTCATTAGGGACTGTAGTGATAGAACAAGGGGTAATGGGTTCAAACTTAAAGGGGGGAAGTTTAGATTGGCTATAAGGAGGAAATTCTTTACTGTTAGGGTGGTGAGGCACTGGAATGGGTTGCCCAGGGAAGTTGTGAATGCTCCATCCCTGGCGGTGTTCAAGGCCAGGTTGGACAGAGTCTTTGGTGACATGGTTTAGTGTGAGGTGTCCCTGCCCATGGCAGGGGGTTTGGAACTTGATGATCTTAAGGTCCTTTCCAACCCTAACTATTCTATGATTCTATCACATACCAGTGCTCTCCCATGAAAGTACACGTCCACACAGGTCTGTGGAAGACCTTATACATATTTATATCCATACAATTTATTTTTGGAGTTATACCAATATGCATGCTTTTTATTGCCTTGAAGGTTACCTTTCCTTCTGAATTTCTTTCAAGTGTCTTTATCACTTTAATGCATCTTGGCAAACCTGCTACTTCCTGGTATTCTGAAATAACTTTGGAGTTTGAATACTCTTAAATTGAGAGACTGTTGTAATAACTAACAAAGGAGTATGTCTTTAATTCATGTCTATCTATCTTTTGATAACTGGAGTAAACTTTGTTACAAAGAATGTATTTCTCTGCACTCTAATTTTTAAATTGGTTTCAACAAAGGTGAAGTTGTGAATGTTCCATCCCTGGCATTTTTCAAGGCCAGGTTAGACAGAGCATTGGGTGACACTGTCTAGGGTGAGGTGTCCCTGCCTATGGCAGGGGGGGTTAGAACTTGATGATCTTAAGGTCCTTTCCAGCCCAAACCATTCTGTGATTCTATGCTTTTAATTATTTTATTAACTGATCCTGCTCAGTGATACTTTGGTTTTGATCCCTGGCATTTTATACCTAAAATAACCATCTTGTCTTTGACTTGAATATGGGTCTTTGCCTCCAAATAGCAACATCTCTCTCCCATTCAGATCTGTCCTATTACTTTCGCTAATTCCACTCCCTTGTGAGCTTGTAACTCACAAGCTTCTCTGCCTGCTATTCCATGAGAAGGCTGTGATTTTTTTGTTTTACTCATCTTTTATTGAACAGTAAATAAAGCAACTTATTCTAAGAGTAAGCAGTCACTGACACACAATATGCAGACATCTGCCCATCTTAAGTTGGAAGAATTTTAAACTTTTACCAGGGAGAGGACATGATTCCACAGTTTAAATGATATGAATTCAAGACTCAGAGTTTCAAAAGCTCAGAACTTTCCTGCTGAGTCTCGAATTCATGTAATTTAAAGAGGTTTCTGAAGAGGATACTTCAGAAATCCAGGCACTGAAAACTCAGTTTATGTTCAGGCAGGTACAAAGTTTCCAACTATTTATTTGATGTAGGGGAAATAAAAAACACACAGAAATTCACTCCTTATGCACACCAGCAGGTGCTTTCAGTATGCAATGGCACTGCCTATACCCATGCTTGCTGAAAGCAGTGAGAGTCTTCATTTGTTTTTGTTGTGCACAGTATATCACAGCTGAAGGAGGTTATTCTAGTTTCTGAGACACCACATTAAGCCTATGGACATTGTGTTCCACTTAACTTGCACTGATGAATGAAGTAAGCTCCTTGTTTACCCAGCCATCAAGCAGAAAGGTTTGTAGTGTCATCTCACCTGATCATATTCTTATGTCCTACCCTGCTTCTATTCTGTCTCAGTGCCCCATATATAAAGGCAGATATAAAACACTGAATAGCATACTATCTCTCCACTAGATAGCAAATCCTGTATATGTGGCTATTATCATCATCATGGCTTGACTTCGCGAACAGAGATTTGGCAAGGGCTTTACCCACGCTTACTACAAGCGTGCTGATGACTAAAAAGGCCAATGTGAGATAGGCAAATCCGGCTGCAAAAAGCACAGAGAAAGGTCTCCTTGGGTGGTATGGGTGGGGTGCGATTCTTTCTACGTTGTCTTTTCTCCTCGAGACTAGTTCTGCGTGAGTTCTCAAAGGAGTCAACAGCATTATGTATGGTGTGTCTCCAAGTCTCATGACTGGAGGCCAAGGTGGACCACTGATGGTATTCAATATGGCCAAGGCTAAGGTATTGTTTCAGGGAGTCCTTATGATCTCTTCTTTGGGGCACTTCTCTTGCGGCTACCAGGGGCAAGTTCACCATAAAACACAATCTTAGGAAGGCAGTGATCCTTCATCCTAGAGACGTGCCTGCCAGCACAACTGCAATTTCAGCAATGTGGCCTCGATACTGGTGACCCCTGCCTGTTCAAGGACAGTAACAGTTGACACATAGTCAGTCCAATGGACGTTTAGAATCGTACGGAGGCAGCGCTGATGAAAGCGTTCGAGGAGTCGCAGGTGATGGCAGTAGATGACCCATGATTCAGCCCCATATAAAAGAGTAGACAGTACAATGGCTCTATAGACACTGATCTTTGTACTTTTCTTCAGGTGTTTATTGCACCAGACTCTTTTATGGAGTTTTCCAAAGGCTCTATATGCCTTTGCTATTCTGTTGTCTATCTCTTTGTCAATCATGGCATCTGAGGAAATATTGCTTCCCAGATAGCTGAATTGCTGAACTGACTTAAGCTCTGACTCGCCAATGGTAATGTGGGGATGATGGTAATCTTCTTGTGGTGCAGGTTGGTAGAGAGCTACTGTCTTCCTCAAGCTGACTTCCAGCCCAAAAAGCTCAGCCGCCTCCGCAAAGCAAGATGTTAAACACTGCAGAACTGCTTCTGTGTGGGCAACAAGGGCAGCAGCATCAGCAAAAAGCAGTTCACGGACAGGATGATTTAGGGTCTTAGTGTGGGCCTTCAGTCGCCTTAGATTGAATAGGCTACCATCAGTACGATATTGAATATAAATGCCATTTTGTTCATCAAGATCTACCATAGCCCTTTGGAGCATAATGCTGAAGAAGACAGTGAATAAAGTTGGTGCGAGAACACAACCTTGTTTCACACCATTGGTTATTGGGAAGGGCTCAGAGAGTGCATCGCCATATCTGACTTGGCCTTGCTGATCCACCAGCATAGCTCCCAACCTCACAAGGGCACACAAGCTCTTTCCCCATGACAAGGGGGTGTCTGCAAAAGGGGTGGCTATTTTTTATATATATATACACACATACTTACATAGGCACAAATACACTACATGTATGCATATATATGTACACTTAGACATGTATCTATATTTACAGACATCTACACATGCACACATATTTGTTCATAGGTAAATGATTACTTCATAGGTAAGTGATTACTTCATAAACCCTATGTTTTCAGGACACCATGAAGAGAATTACAGAAACACAGATGGCATTTTATGCACTAGGACACAGTATTCCTGTGCACGGAGAGGCTGAACAAAGGACATAATGTAAATGTAGAATCTTAGAAAATACAGACTGAGGATTCCTAGTTTTAGTATTTCAATAACTTCCAGCTTTTGCAGAGGTATCATAAAACTGAACTTACAGTTCAAACATTGCGTAGGTATGTGTGTGTGGAGGAAAGTCAATACATTAGGTATTACAGTTTCAGAAATACAGCTCACAGTAGTAGCATTACTCATTTCATCAAGGTCTGGCTGCCTTGCAAACATTAAATCACTAGTGCTTGTACTTTTGCAGGCAGTTAAATCAAGCTATACAACAGCAGAGGCACAGAATTACCCAGCTCTGTTGTGCACAAAGCATAAGGCACAGTCAGATTTTCTGTTACTGCAGGAAAACAATGTTAAATGTTATGTAAAGCTATTCCCTACTTATCCTCCATAAAATACAGCTACTGCTTAGACTGTATTAACTGCTGTTAAGTTCAATCAAAGGGATTAAAGAGAGGACAGTCAACTATTTCCCATGCAGACGTGTGTTAGACAGGAACCACTCCTAGTATGAGAGTAAAACCCTGTACCGGCATTCATCAACTGACTGATACTAGGCAAACAACCACTCTAAGCCATATTTCATATTCAGTAAGGAAGGGAATTTCTGTTTTTCTATTTTAACTTGCTAAAAGGCACAGAGGGCTGCCTCCTCTGACAACTTCCTCCTTTCTGCCACTCAGGAAAACATCCCATCTCTGCATCTGACAAGCAGCAGTTTGGCAACAACCAGAGAGGTGGCTATACAGCTACTGAGAATGAGTTATTACAGCAGAATCTGAGCATATTTCTCTGCAGAACTCCCACACTTTATCTACTTTGGAGCATGGAAGAACTGATAATTTGCCAAAGCTACTTCTACTTTTCTGCTGCTTTCAAATGTTTTTCCTGTAATTCCTTTCTTATTTTTGTGCCCTCCTGCACTGAAAATATTCTAATACACAGTGACAGCACTTAGGGCTGATTAAAGTGTTTGCAAGTGATGACAAAAATATGCTCAAAGGGCAGATGGCTTGCAAGGACAGATCAGCAAAAGAGAAGGAAAATAATTTATGAGCAGAACCTACTTTAAATTTGCAGTAGAATCATTACCTTCACCATCCTCAGTGCATCAGGAAAGCAAATTGTAATTACAGATGTGACATAGCTCTTGCATATTTAAAATCCTCAGTAATTACTGCAGTGAAGGAAGTCAAGTCAAATGCAGCAAGTCAATTTTTTTTTCTTCCACAGAAATAAAAGAGATTTAATATTACCCTTGTCTAAAATTCATCCAATTCTGTAATTTAATATTTGTTTAAATGATATTAGGCTTAAAAAAATAATAAAAATCTGACTCCTGCACTTTAAAAAAAATAATCGCTTTAGGGAGACAAAATGAACTTTTAATGCATGCTCTTTTTTCCTTTTTTCTTTTTAAATGGGAGATTGATAACACATTTTCAATCTAGGCACTACGCCTGTGGGCAATGTGCTGGCTTCAACAATTCTCCAGCTACTACAGCCCTGTTAGGCACTGTGCCAGACAATGCCTTATCCAGAAGAACTAAAAACGGACTGTTGACTTCAGCTGTAGTCTTGCCCAAGCTAGGCTCGTAGTACTGGTTTCAAGACAATCCTGTGGGGTACAGCCTGACAGTTCCTGTCAAGGTCAGGCTCTCTGCATCAAAAAGTAAACAAGCCACACGCTTCATGAGCTCCAGTGAGGTGCAAAAACTTCCCATGAATTCATCTCCAGTGGCAGAAGAAATTTTGACTGAAATGAAAACATGAATGAACACCAGAGGATCAGTATGGGGTGGAACATTGCTTGGGAACTCCATTCTTTGATACTTAGCACAGCATCAGTTCCTCCTGAATACATGTCTGTGCTTAGAGCGCTCCTCACCTCTCCATCACACTGCTGAACAAAGTAACAGGTTCCTTCTAAGGAACCAAAATGAAGATAACCAGTCTGTAATTCCTCCTTTCAGCCTTTTAACAGGTAGACAGTAAGTTGGGCTTTTTTCTAGTTTCCACTCACATCTGTAAAAATTCCTGAAATGGGTGACAGTGGCTTAGAAAGCATGAAGTACTTCCCTGTGGAAATGTCTTTAATTGCATTCATAACTTGCTGCATAAAGAGTTTTCATTAAGAGTTATGATTGCTTAATGTAAGACAATCATGTATTTTCAAGCCACTAATGCCACAGATTTAACCAAAGATATGGCAAACCACAACTTGATCTATAAAATCCCTGCACAAACTAAGTTCACTTTCTACTCCTTTCTCCATCTTCATCTGAAAAACCAGAATTTACCTGGGGAGGCATCAGAGGTTTTTTTGTTCCTTTAGGTAGACCTTGAAGTCAGACTGTGCAAAAAAACATTCTGTCTGCACCAAAACCCAACCACTGGAAAAAAGTATCCCAGAAATAGAGAGCATATATCTACTTTTGTTATCTACTTTGCAGCCTACTGAGGCTCAGAACAGGCAATGAATAATGGAGGAAGCAACAAGCAAATTAAAAAATCCTAATTAAGTAAAGGATGAGCCTGCAAGTTTTCCAGCCCTTTGCTTTTGGTATCAATGAATCGCATCCAGATTTGAAATTAACTTGAGCTCTTCAGTAAAAATAGTACCTTCCTTTAGTACCATGTGCTTTCTAGGTTTTTTTTCTACATACTTCACGTGTTTTGATCTGTGCTGCTGTTTCCTTTTTTTTTTCAACAAACAAACCTGGAAAACCTAGTGATGAACTGCTTATGAATTTACCTAATCTAGGGTTTATGTAAAGGCACAGGCACTTTTGACATTTAAAAATTAATTTTAAGCCTTAATGTGACAATAAATGCTTTGAACCACCAGCATTAACAACGCCATAAAGACAAAGCTAACAGATAAAATAACAGTGAGTTGGTAAGGAATGGGAGTGTCTCTCCTAGTATTAAAAAAGGAAAAAACCTCCGCACCCTCACATAATGTGTGCTAATGACAGACCTGCTCTGACTAAAAAGACAGAGTTGACATGCTTAAAGTACATGTTTAGGATCCTAGACTTGGCTTAACTCAAACAGCTTTGATTGGATGGGGTCCCTCAACAGTATTAAAACTGCTCTAATTGCATTCTTCAAGCCAGCTGAAGGCTGACAGCTTCCGCTCTCCCGCTCGCTATCAGGGCACATCAAGGACTTCTGTTACGAGAGGAGCACCTGGTCCAAATTTATTTCAACGGCCCAGAGCAAAATGGGAAGGTGCTTAATGTTCAGCCACAATAGTGACATTTTTACGATACATCCAAAGTTCAGAAACAAACAAATGAAGGATTTGAAAGGCGTACAAACAGAAATGGTGACAATAAAAATTCAACATTAATATATCAATTTTAAAACATATACCACCCATATTCTGGAGGGCAAGGCCAAAAGTTCAAGGCAGAGAAAAGAAGAAATCTGTATAGCTAACTTGGAAGGAAAAAAAAACAAACCAAAAAACCCCACACCTTTCTATAACTTTTTGAAAGAAATGCTGACCCTTTACTAAAAAGGGCGTATTTAATTTCATCCTAGGTGAAATTAATACTACAAGTAGTACCACTCATTTCACCAAAAATTGGTGACACATTTCAGCTTTAGCAGAATAACAAGCAATATAAACATAAAGCTTTTCTACTTTAACGTTTCTAGTTTGTGCCTCTCTTCCTGCCTCAATGTAGAAAAATCAAATTAACTGGAGGGGCAGGGGGAGATGCACACAGGTAATATTGTAAAATCTTCATATCAGTAGTGAGAGATGAGCAAAATTTATTGTTAAAGAGTCTTGAATAATTTTCCTCAATCTCTTTGAAAAATACCATTGCTGTTTTCAGTCGAACCTTACGAACATGACACTCCTGTTCAATTCAAAATTAGGCCAATTTTATTTCTGCACCTACAACTGAATTAAAATTACAGTCATTATGTAAATTTACAGAAGACTTCTCATGCACAGAATGACAGAAGATCAGACACTGTTCTATTATTTTTTTAATTTCAGAAATTGAAATGCTGAAATTGCTTCACAGTAGTCAGGGCACATCACACAGTATAGCAAACTCACAACTCTGCAATGACACAGGAAGGGTCAATTAAATCTTTATAAATAACCACATTTAGGAACAATTTTAAATGTGTGTTGCCTAAACAAGAAACAAATTATTCAACATTACGTAATTCCACACTATTTATAACAAAGATCTGAGTTCTACACCTTGGAAATTTCTATTCAGGTATAAGAATGTACTGAAAGATAGAAGGTAAATTCTTTAATCAGTAAACTGGCTTTTATACTGCAGTAGAAAGCATCTATTTCTTCCTATTTGGCAATTACTGGCTTACTTTCCAATCAGTATGTATGGCCAGATTTGCTGCCTCATATGAAGTTATTAGCATGCACACATGTGCTATATCTCTTTACCAAATAGATAAAAGTGTAATTTAGTAACTGACAGAGAGAATCTGCAGTACAACTGAAACTACTAAAAAAAAGACCTCGTTCGAGACAGACTGAAATACATAACTACATAGGTAAAAATACACCATCTTTAAAAATAAATCCCAACAGATTTATGGAACAGTTAATACTGTAATTTCTTGTCATCTTAAGATTACTGCAGCTCTGCCTTCTCATGCAATTTCCCCTCTATTCTGCATGGTGAATTAGAGAACAATGCGCAAGCACAGACTTTTCTTGACAGCGTCTGCCGATACCAGTCATTAGTATTGTCCTGGATGTTGTGCTTGACCAGCAGCATACTTCACAGAAACATTTTCTTTCTGCTTGCTTCCTATTAACTGGGACAAACTTCCCTTATGTGTCTCTCAAGAACAGCCTTGCTTTTCCTTATTTGACCTACAAAACACACTGACATTTTTCAGACAGGAATTTTTAGTGTACTGACAGATGTTTTCTTTTCACTGAATAAGCAATGATTTTTACTGAGAATCAGCCGGTCACAGCATTTAAAGACCTTTAAAAATCCAAATTCCAACCTCATTCTTCCACAAAGATTCTAATGACTAAACAGTATTTAAAAGAACAATAAAAATCTCATGGGGAAAGCGGGAAGACACGTCAGGAGAAACGGATGGACAGTGGAAGAAAGAGTTAACAAAAACTGCAGTACACCTCAAAATGAGCTATAAAGGTTCCATAATGAACCTTCTAGTCCTGAACTATCTCTCAGGCGCATTCACTTACATTTCTTTATGCTGCCATCTCTCACTGCAAGTATAACAAGAAAGTTAAAACGTAATTTTACATGTAGGTATATCACCTCAAATTAGCAACATAAAATTACTGACATTTATTCTAAAGAAAGCCCTACTGGCTAGAGGTAAAATGCTGAACTAGCATCTGTCAGTACTGCTAATTGAGGTAAGGTTGGGAACTGTAAAGTACCATTAAAGGAGTAAAATAATACCAAATGGAAATGATGAGAAGGTACAGTACCCTTCTGACATGCTGAATTATTATCCTGATTAAAGTAGCTAGTATGTTTGACTCTTAAAAGTGCCATGAACAGTAATGTGCTTCAGAATTGCAAGGAACATTCTTACGGGCCGCAGTACCTGAAAAAACAGGTTAACAAATTCTTGCAATATAATACCCATAGATTTGATGTGTTTTTAATGAAGCGTTCCATCTTCTGTATTTTTAAAAAGCATATATCCTTTTTAGAGAAAAAGCATGAATGCCACATTTTTACCTCCAGCCTCAGCAGTTCCACCTGGTTCTCTGCAGTCTAAGTTTAGAGCAGATCTTTCGACTACAAGCTGTTTGCAAGATTCTTGCCATCATCTTGTGAATGGATGACAGTGGATAAAATCCAACACTGGACTCAAAAGTAAAACAATTATATGTAGGAGTATTAACAAAATTTATCCAACTTCATCTTTTTTTTCTTGTTTGGCATCTCTACCCCTTTGACAGCGTAGTATAACAAAACCTGTAGAGCTCTGTCTGTTCATTTGGGAACACAGCAAATTTTACTGTGGCATGTAGCAGTCTTCTAAAAAAAATTCAGTTATGAAACAGATGTTCCTTCTTCCTTTACCAGGAGGAACAGCAGGGGAAGAAAAATCAAAGACTATTCTGATCTTCATACTCTGACCTATGTCTACAATTTGTTGCTAGCCACAGCTTTTAGAAAATTCACACTTACAAACCACCAGTAAACATGGTACAAAATAAAGGCAATATGAAGAACATTCAAGGATGAGAAGGACTGTATTACATTTACTTCTGTGTGACTAAGCGTGTTAATTTTCAGCAGCTACCTGCTTGTTGAGAAACATGTTGAAACTTGAAGGTAGGGCAGTCACAAGAATATGCCTACTCTGCTTGAAAATATTAAGTTGTGCCAGTTTAAAAGCAAACATTTATGGCCAGATCCTATGGGATTTATTTTTGCAGTCTGCTCACATGAGGGAAAAAAATACAGTATACATTTCTAGCTTGCTAAAAGCTTTCATTACAGCACTAGTTGACAAAGAGAAAGCTCATGCCTTCTCCTTCACCACAGATAAACTGACAAATGTCACATTGTTTAACATTTGGACATACTAAAATGAAGCCAAATAGAGCATACTGGAAGCTGAAAACACTTTCCAGGCTCAGTTACATGAAACTTTGTAGGTCTTCCACAGAATCTTTAACCTCATGAAGTTCAACAAGGAGAAGTGCAAAGTCCTGTACCCTTGGAAAAACATCCCCATGCACCAACATATGCCGGGGCCACTCAGCTGGAAAGCAGCTTGGCAGAAAAGGACCTTGGAGTCCTGGTGGACACCAAGGTGAATATGAACCAGCAGTAGGGCAATAAGGCAAATGGCATCCTGGCCTGCATTAGACTAAGTTTTGCCATGTTAGGTCACACCTGGGGTACTAGGTCCAGTTCTGGCTTCTTTGGTACAAGAGAAATACAGACACACTGGAGAGAGTCCTTCAAAGGAATGCTAAGATGATCAAGGGACTGGAACATCTTTCCTATGAGGAAGGGCTGAGAGAGCTGGACTGCTCAGCCTGGAGAAGGTTCAGGAGGGTCTCACCAATGTGTATAAATACCTGAACGGAGGGTATAAAGGTGGATTCAGGCTCTTTTCAGTGGCGCCCAGTGGCATGAAAAAAGGCAATGGACACAAAAATGAAACACAGGAGGCTGTCCGAACATCAGGAAACACCTTCCGACTGTGGCGGCGACTAACAGGTTGTCCAGGGAGTCTCCAGCCTTGGAGATATTCAAAAGCTGCCTGGCCATGGATCTGGGCAACTGGATCTAGGGGAACTTGCTTGTGCAGAGGGGCTGGACCAGCAAACCTCCAGAGGTGCCTTCCAACCTCAGCCATTCCGTGATTCTCTAAAAGCTTCAAAATTTTTATGTGCACTTTACAGACACCAGAGTAGTATTTCCATATTATAATGATCTGAAAGTCAGGTTTTGTGCATGTATGCACATATGCACACAAACATCTTCATTCCTTTTAAAAGATAAGACAATCAGGATTTAATTATTTTGCCATTTCAAGAATTTCACATCCCAAGGCCTCCCAAAAAAACCCCACCTAGCTTGAAAAGTCATGGTGAATCTACTGCATATGAGCAGTTTCTGAGAGGGGAAAAGGACACTGTTATTCCTGAGTTAAGAATGTCAGAATAGTCCATCAAGCTAATGAAGGAGTTGCCTGCTGAAAAAAGTCCCCAATTTAAGAAAAAGAATAAAGAAAAGCCTCAAAAGCCACCAAAGTTCTCCCCTGAATTTTGTCAGCATTCAAGTGACATCCATACTTCAGAATTAACAGAAATGTACCAGTTAACTGGGGCATTAAAGCAACCTCTGTAGAGCTGGACAGTTTGTAAAGTTCATTAGCACCCAGATTACCTTCCTACAGACTCTTTGAGCCCCTCACAATCGTCTGAAAGATCATTAGATTCTGACACATCGTTCTTATATATCCAAATGACCTTTCAGATATGCTCTTCAGGTTTCACTGTTAACACTGCATGCCAAATGTCACCAAAATTTTTTCAAGTTAAGTGTCACCAGAAGACATTTTGACAGGCCATTTTGTCACTAGATACAGCAACAGAATTACGTTATGCTGGAGGTGAGGAAGGGAGTGAAAGAGAGAAAAAGCATCTGATCCCTAGTCAGCGCAGCGTTACTTTTGGTATCTTGCATAGTTTGTCAGCATATACATGGTGCTTTTTTGAGGAAGGAGAGGCCACTACTCCATATAGCTCAATGCTCCTGGCATCCTCAGTTTTGCAGGGCATTTTAAGAGGTCAAGAGAGCTGGAGAAAACAGGCAGCATGGGCTGCATTAGAGGGCAGCTCCCCAGTTATAAGTACTACCTAGGGTCCCCAAAAGGGCCAGCTTTTCCCAGAGTAACCAGTTTCAATGAGTGCAGCCTGATACACCGCTTTCCAAGACCTCACATGTACTTTGGCACATGACCACAGAATAATCTCATCTCTTCTGAGGCGCAAGCTCAGCTTACACCCCATCACACAGCAAAAAGCAGGGCACACACCACACGGTGCTCCAAGATTGCCAGAATGAACACAACCAGTCCTGTACCTCTAGGTGCAAAGAAGGCAGGCACACTAATACTTCAAGAGGATTAGGGGAGACGGGAAAGAGAAGGGGAAAGATGCACTGTTTCATCTTTACAAGTCTGAGTGTCCATCCTTTGACTAGCTAGTCTTTTCCTTCTGAAGAACTTCATGGAACAAGATGACCCAATTCAAACAAACACCAGAAAAAGTCTGCCATATTTTCTGAACCAACTGGTACAAATGAAAACCATGAGAAACTGAGTGTGAATGAGCAAACCATCAGAAGACAGAAACCTATACAGCTTCGACAGCCAAGAACAATTTGCCATAAAAGGAGTTCCTGGTAACTGCCAGAAAGCTGAAATATTTCTAAGAATTATTCAGCAAGTGAACAAGTAGGAAACCTTGGGTCAGGACCACTTTCTAATGCTTACCTCTTTCCGCTTTGAAATTGTCGTCTTTTATCAGCACCATGAGCACGCAGGGCTTACAGAGGAAAAAGCTTCCCTATCCTTAGGAGCATGGCTGTGCCTTCAAATGGGCTTCAGCAGCATTTGGGAACAGTTCACCTGACTACCACCAACGTTACAGGGTGCTCACTGCACTAAAATAGTGTCAGAAAAATGTGAGATTCCAGAGAAGCTGGACTTCTCAGAGCCATACAACTCATGGTGTTCATTTCCTATTAGACAGAGAGCTTACCAATGGAATTTTAATGAACAGTCATGACCAACCTGCTGGACAAGCAACATAAAACAATCTTTTCATGCAAACAAATTATAACATTATAGGACTGCAGGAAATTTCACATCACACACACTGAACACATGAACTAGACAGTGGTGCGTACGTGTGTGTGTCTGCTCTACATGCTACCTGTCAAAGCAGACCGCCTAAAGCTTAGTCAGGAAGAGGCTTTAAAAACCTTGTGAAAATACAGATGATAAAAGGAACTAAGAGGGTGGTACAAAGTAACTAGCTTCTCCAAATAAATACTCTGCACAGCTGTAAACTACATTTCGAGTTCCTGGGGAAGCAGGAACAAATCCTTAGATAAAAACCACATCTATTTAATGAATAGATACGTGGGAGCAAAGAAAGGGCTGACATTTCTAAAGCAACAGACTTAATGGTGCATGGAAGTATTTAATTCCACATTTTCAATTACATTTCCTGGCTTTCACTGTATTTTTTTGGTTACAATGCAAACTGCTTAGCCTATTTGTCAGGGTTTGGGAGTACACAAATCTGAACACTCTGAAGCCATAATGTAAGTCTGCAAAACTGGGTTGACTTTATTCCATCTACAAGCTTTACCCACCCAGGAAAGTTTCCAGAAACACAAGCTGAACCTTGAAGTTTGTTAGATGCTCTTTCCCAGGCCTTTATAAACCAAAAGCAATAAAACACTGTAGGCAAAGCATTCTGATCTTAGACACCATGTACAGTACTTACAGCAACCACCCTATGGAAGTCTTGTTATTGCTGCCTATTAAAAAAAGAAATCTGAAAACCAGAAAGTTAAAGCCTCACTGCTGTGGAGTAAAAGAATGGCCTTTTTATGGTGTGCTACTGCTGCCTTAAGGGGTAAATCCTGTTTAGGGCAAACCCTAGGAACAAAAAAGCCCAGCATCACTGTTGTATTAAACAGATCCCTCTTTTTGCTGATTTTATGGCACACATAGAGCCAAAAACCTCCTTATCAGAACAAATGCTTGACTACTTACTTTGGAGCCAATTAAAAAGGACTGTAAGATGACTTTTAAATTAAGGCTTTCAAGATATCCAACCAGCCAAGTACACTGTGAGAGCCGGATGCCCACCCTCAAAAGGTTTAGTGCTAGCTTCCCACCACCCACTCCCTCTTTCATAAAATAAAGTTATTTCAAATTCCAGGTTCCTTCTTTGATATATCCAAGCTGCTTTTGGGGAGGATTGGGCTTTTTATTTGCAGATAGGGCAGGAGTAGGGGGAAGAGGGAGGGAGAGAGGGGAGAGAATCAAAGCTACACAGATTCAATTCCTATTACAAACAGAAAAATTTTAGGCTCCTAAAAATATCGGTCATGCTAGAAATTATATGCCAAAACCCAACAGTGAACAAACTGCAGAGCCGAAGACAGTGAAAGAATGAAGGTATCCATCTGCAGATAACTGGTATCTTTAAAATGAAAAAAGAAGCTAGGTTTGACTATTTATCAAAAGCTGTGGTATTTCAAAACAGCAGTTTAGTAATGGAAACCACCACCATCTCAGATTCATCTAGATTTTGTTAAAGGTATTTAGGTACTTAGACAAGTAACTTTTAATGGATTCCTCCTCAGCTATTTCTGTCTGTAATTCATAAAGATGATAGCTAGGTAGACATCTGTATTTTTTAGATATCTTAATTTAGCCAGCAATGGAAAAGAATAGGGGAAAGAAGTAATGAAGTTTTCCTTCTCTTTTTCAGTAGGCTTTGAAAAGCAGTTACATGCACAGCAAGAAAAGATTAATAAAACTTAGGACACATTAACTAATTATATGGTAATGGGCCAGGTTTTACACTATTTCAAAATACATCTCCATTGGGAAAGATGTGTCACATAAGATCCAATCGTTATTTCCCATTTCACCAGTTTTAAATATGGCATGCTATATATACTGTCTTCAGTTTTCTTTGAAAGCAAAACACTAGCTTTGCAATGTGTAAAAGCAAGAAAAAAAATCTCCAAACCACAAATGTGTATTTAAATGTGTATTAAAAAAAAACAAAAAACCCCCATTTAATACTGAATTAATGACTAAGAAAGACCATTTAAAAGCATTCCAAACTCTACCGTAATTGAAGAAAAATCACATCTGACAGAGCTGTTTACCACCAACAGCACAGAAACCTTTCTAGGACTGTTCTACTGCATTAGACAAAAGAAACCCAAAACATTACTAAAGCAAAACCTCTAGCAGGCAATCAGAAAGTACTAAAAACATTTTGTGTTTTTAAGATAACACATTTGAGCCTGTTTAAAACAAGCCTTTAAAAAAAATAATCCTTTAAAAAAAGATCACACACAGGGTCAGTGATATCTGGCTAGCAGAAGATATCTATGTATGTTTACTGAAGTTAACTCGGCCCAGGTGAGGATCACACCCAAATTCCTGCATTTAACAGAATATGTTTTTAATGCTTTTCCCCCTGACCTTCACACTCCATTGCAGCAATTATATTTTATCTATAATTTGGTGTTTAGTGTTGGTTTATGTTGTGAATAAATACTTGATGGTATTAACACTACAAGAATTGTTTCTTTTTAAACAGCTATTGCACACATACAGTGTTCTAAAAATATTTATGATGGATGCATATACACATATGCATGTGCCTACATACAGACACACATGCAGAGCCTGACTTCCACGAGGCAGCAAAAGGTAGTGACCTTTCATCTCAAAACCAAAGTAATTTCTCAGCTACAGAAACAACACTTACAGATGAAAAAACAGCAAGCCTGGGGTTTTGCCGATTTTTTTAGTCTATCTGTATTTTGAATGACTTGCTTACAGTCTAGGAGCCCATGGTATAAATTTCATCCCAGAGTGAATTTTTATGATGGAGTTATAAACCCCTAAAGAAACAGGGTTTACAATGGAAGTGCTGACATAACTAACTATAGCAGCACTAGCACTGCCTCTGCAATCAAGACACATTATATTTATGAGGTAGGTGAAAGTCTGTAACCATCAATCACTGGAATCATATTGACAGATTCTAAGTTTGAGGTCCAACAGAATTAATGTATTCAGTTTCTCACACCATCGATATGAAGGGGAGAATTTGCAGGCACTTTTATGGGCTTAGGCTTTGACATCTTTACAGAAATCAGTGAGGGGCTGTCTTGCTGAAACATTTCATTCATCTGCTGCCTCAGCTCTTCTAGGGTTTGCACCAACCTTTCACACAAAATGCTAGAGAAGTAGATTGTCCAGAAACCAAATGTGACCTTATGCACATACATGTGCTTCATGAGCTGGTCATTACAAACATTAATTCTATGTATATCCACCAGACATTTAAAATAATACCCAAGAATGATTAATCACCCAAAGAATATCCAACTCCTAAATTATAACTCAACATCCCTATATAAAACAATCTAAAATGTCAGCACCTCAGTCTTTATGATATCACACCGTTCCAATAATTCTGTTTTACAAGTAAATTCCTATTATACATTAATAAGTGCTGTTGGTGGCTAAACTTCATGCCTTTGAGTAATGACCAGGTTGAAGGCAATTAGGCTGGCCAGGTGCAGCTGGGTTAGGTACTAATAAAAAGTTTTTAAATTTTACTATTTCCGTTTGGATTTTGGGGATGCATTCCAATCTGCCCAAATTAGGGAGGAAATTGTTTCCATGTTTTCAGCTGTTCCATGGTCTGACTATTACTGACCGATACCCCGCAAAGACTTTTTCTTTCCACTTACACACACCCCTTACTCACAAGACCCCAGGTCTTCATTTTTCAACTTTTCAGAGCAGCACAATGGGAAAACTAAGAAACTATTCTGTAAGTTTGCAGAAGTTTTCAGTTCAGCTACAGGGTTAGCTGGGCTTGAGAGAAACTGGTCTGAAAACAGAAAATCTGAGTTGGTTTGCAAAGTCCTTAGCTATATATAAATCCAGAATAAGAAGTGAAATGCAACTGTTGTCATCTTCACTCCCTCCATTCCTCTGAAAGTCCAGACTGATGTGAATGTGTTTTCCATAACAACTCATAGTTTTTATAATTACTTGAAAACTTATTTTCTTTTAATCAAACCTACTCTAACATCATTTACACCGATTTTAAAAGCCATGTTTTTACTGAAGTGCCTGCAGGATGTGCAGAGTGCTGCCAGTGCCCTTGGGTTAGGTCAGAGCAGGGAGGCTTTCTGAAGTGACACCACTGCAATCAGCCATTCTGTGTGTGTACACATGCACGCTTACATACACCTTCCTGCCCTCTTGCCCTCTACACATTTTCATCTGTGACTCTTACTCAAGCACAGCCTGAGGCTGAGCACAGAGAGCATCACACAGCTTATGGCCAGAGGCATCAGGAAGCCTCCAATGTTTCTCACCAGACAAATGCTTTTCTCAGAAGGCAAAGCTACTGCCAGGGACTGGAGGAGTTGGGGAACAAAAGAGCTATCTCATTCCACACAGATAAGTCTTAAAGCCTTGTATAGATAGCCCTGAGCTTCTCTACTGCTTTGTGAAATCATTCTCTCACATCAGTCTTTACTTCTGGAAAATGGAAACATGGATTATTTTTAGGAGCTCACAGCGGCATTTGTTAAGTTTCATTTTCTACCTGTAAACCATACAGAGATGTCACAATTTACAGGTGACTAGGACAATATTCTCCAGCAGGATCAACACAAGCTTCCCCTATTCCTGTCGCCCAGAAAGGCATCCTCAGTGAAGCCTGTGCCAAAATGCTGCTTAATAGGGACTTTAAGCCTACCTGACTACAGCCACTTCTGCATGAAAGCTTGCAGCAAAGTGGCCCTGACGAGAACATGTCACACTGGTGGCTGGGTGGCCGTAGAGACACATTTTTCTCCTTCCCAACGCCCCAAGTTCAGCTTACCACACTCTTTGACAAGCAGATTTGTATTCTGGACTCTTTTTTAAACCCCAGTCAGAAATTTAACCTAAAAAAATCTATGATGGTCCAACAGCAGTAACAGGAAGGCATGACTGAAATGGATACAATTTATACATAATGAAGCTGCAACTTCCACTTGTTCTGTAGCTTTTACACAGATTTGAGCCTAGGGGAAAAAGTAACAGATTTTTGAAACCAGAACAGAAGTATGTGCCAATTTAAAAAGCCATCATTAATTCTTATGACTGTAATCTGAAATCAAGCATGGCATACATCTACTTTTTTGCAGGCATTCCTCTGCAGTCAAAATGCAAGAGTAGTGCAGCATGCATAGGGGCATACAGGGAGCTCACAGAAAATGACCTGCTGTGCTTTCCCACAAGTGAGCAGCGCCCTGAGGAGGGCAGCATGTAGGCATGGATTTAAATATGCACAGAACTGTTTGCAATCGCATGCTTTACTAAAACAGCCTTGCCTTCCAAGAGATTAGTGAAGTACCACACACACAGCCAAACATTATCATAAAACGCAGGCAGAAAGACAGCAGGATATTAAACCAAAGCTCACTAAAAAAATGCCAAAGCCCTTGCTTTCATGAGTATCAACAGGAACAGATTCTCAGCATCTTTAATAACTCAATTTCTTCACTCTAAAACATTGCCAATCCAATTTTAAATGTGTTTAACTGAATCAAGACATTCAAAGCAATAGATCATCTAATACCAAATTACACAAGGGAAACGGGAGCAATTACCAGAATCTGCAAAAACCAGACCTATTTTTAAAAAGGATCCAATTTTAAAACAATGCCATTTAGTTTTAATGTCAGTCAATTTGATAACACAAGTGATAATATTTGTGATCCCCAAAACTGGGCACATTTTAAAACAAT